GAAAATGAAATGGAAACTGGGGATTGTACGGGTGTTATATAGGGTTTATAGTCCCCCTTACGTAGATAGAATATGGCTTTGGGTATATTATAATAAGGTCCCCATATACCCTATATTCTATCGACTTGACGGGGACTATAGGGGTTGGGATTGGGACGAAGCTTTTCTGATTTTTCCGTACAGCTTGTCGTTTTCTCATGTGGGGTTTAATTCTTTCTCATCAAAGGTGTTGGAAGGTCAAACAGCCCGAGAGTCTAGTAGGCATTTCCCATACACAGTTTCAAGAATCATGAGTTTCTACAGACACGGTTTCTAGTAAAGATGGGTGGGGCTTATGTTGTAGGGCCTCGGGCATACGAGGTTTGTTAGAAACCAGTACAACCAGTATATGGCCCTGTTCTAGGGGTTTGTATTGGACCTACAGGGATGTATTAAAAAGATTCATGGGACACAGTAACGTTACTTTTGACTTGGACAGTACGTATGGTCAACTATAAACTCATCCAAGGTGGTATCATAAAATGCCACTGGCGGGTATGAACATCAGGGGGTGAATTTCATAGTGGGAGGATCACTGCAGACCTCCGGGCAACGTTGGGATGCAAGTCTGAGATTCGATAACTTTGCTTAGTAGACACCACCATCCCAAGGCTTCTGCACTGGATCATTATTGTAATAATAGTTGATACAATAACCGCAATAATTCAGACAAAGTAGGTTGAAGGCGACCATGATAAGCAATGATTCCTCATTGGAAGCCCTCGCAAATTCAGGCCGCAAAGGCTGTTGTCGAAGATGTAGCTCTCACACCAAACGCGCGTCTGCGCCATAGCGATGGCCTGGCAGGGACAAACATCCATGACCAGCACAATTGGACCGCAGAACCGCGTGGCCCAAGTCTTACAGCCATTGGCAATGAAGGATCCTCCTCCCACTGCTACGTTTACAACTACTGGTAGTACTACTACGATGACTACACTACTACCACCACTACCACCACTACCACCACCACCGCCGCCGCCGCCGCCGCCGCCGCCGCCGCCACGACAACTACTACTAAGCGTCGCGATGCTAATTGATTGCAGTGCTTTTGGGTGTGCATAGGCTTGTGCAAAGTTGCCAAAGTACTGCGTGTTAGAGTACTTCGTGGGTGCTGACTCTTTGATGCTGTGCACACAGGAGGGCTGAAAAAAAGGGAACTACTTCTGTGCTAATTTAACAGGTGTCTGTTGCGCTGGAGTGACAACCTGAGGCTCGGGTACTTCTCCTTGATGGCTCCCTCACCCGCATCGCAGGGATTTCAAGGGACCGTACCCTGTGGAAAAGGATTTTAGAGCGATCTTACCCGTTTGTCAAAGACTCAAAGGGACCTTATCGCGTTTTGGCGGAATTTAATGGACCCTTTCCTTTTCTTAAGGATTTAAAGGGACCCTACTCGTGCGTCACGGATTTAAAGGACCCTACCCCTTTTAGAAGGGTTTAAAGGAACCTTACCCTGTTTTGAATGATTTCGAGGGACCCTAACTCGTTTTGCGGATTGAACGGAGCCGTACTCTTTTTGGAGTGCTTGCAAGGCAGCCACTCCTCCTGATAGATTCAAGGCGGCCGTACCTTTTTTGAGAGATGTCTTGGGACCATACCTTTTTCTTGAAGGGACCGAAAGGGACCGCACCCTATTTTGAGGGTGTAGACAGAGCCGTACTCTTTGTTGGAAATCTTTAAAGGGACCCGCTCTGTGCTGAGGGATTGAAAGGGACCGTACCCTTTTTTGAAGAATTCAAAAGGACCCTAAGTTTCTTCTAGGATTCAAAGGGACCCTACCTTTTTATCGAGGGATCCAAAAGGACCCACTCTTTTCTGAGGGATTCCAAGGGACCACACCCTGTGAGCAATTGAAAGCCCAGCAACAGTGCCGTTTCTGGGCACTGCTCTACGCTTGGTCATCAGCACGGGTTCCAGCAAATAAAATGCATCCGGAATGTCTGCAACTGCTAACATGAAACTTCTCATCCCCCCCAGCCCCCAACCCTCTACCACCAGCCTCACAAGAAACACTTGGACCCATGATTGATTAAGGGCGTGCAGGGTACTACTACTGCTGCTACTACTACTGCGGCTACTGCTACTACTAGACGCCGACTACTACTACTACTACTACTACTACTTTACTACTACTACTTGTTGCTATTACTGCTGCTACTACCGCTACCACTGCTACTACAATTACTGTTGCCAGCACCATGACTATTGAGCGGCAAGCCCAACATCCAACCAAGTAATTGGTCAAACAAAGGAAACATGGGCAGCTTCAAATTATAGGGTATATATTGGGGTTCTATTGGGATAATGGAAAAGAAAATGGAAACTACTATAGGGTTTAGGGATCCCATCTGACGGCGAGCGCGTTGGAGATTACCAGAACTAGCCGGACGAGAACTCCACTACCCATAAAACACCAAGAATCCGCATGTAATGTATCATGTTGAAATCTTCTTGAGGTACCCTGTACTTTACTTATACAAATCAGGATCATAATATACAAACTTGGCCCCTAAGGCCCTAAAATAAGCCCAGTTTCCAGTTCATGTGCCATTCCCTTTGTCATCTGATGTTCCATAATTGGGGTAATACCTCTCTAATCCCACCCCAAATTGGGGCAAGATACACTCTGTAAAACCACCCCACCAGTTATCAAATGTGATTTTTGCAGTTTTGCAGTAGGCTAAACCCTAAACACTACCCTCTGGCGCCTGTAGCATGGCATGGAAGCAGTCATCTCCCCCCTCCAAAACCGTCACGCGGTTCCCGGTGGAGAAGTGGCCATACTTCTGAAACCTGACTCTCATGGTTTCCCCTACTTCCTGCCATATACTCCAGAAACCCTCCCAGGTTCCCCTGAATTTGGTTTCTTTGCTAATTGGGGGGTAGCAGGGAAACCAATGTTATTCGGTGACTGGGAAGGCTGGGAAGGTTCCAAGAAGAACAGGAAGCCAGCCTAGGCATATAGCATAGGGTTTAGGGTTTAGGGTCTTTAGGGTATAGGAGTATACCACAACGTCTTTTCTAGTCAAGCTGGCCCCCAAACTACATATGTAAGGTACGCGCCATGTGCATCAGATAAAAGAAGCTGAAGAGGACAAGTAGACCAGAACCCTAAACCCTAAACCCTGGTTTAGATGCCCAAGGACCACTGCCAAGTCTGCAGGTTGAGGGTCATGGTAGTAGTAGGGTGTAGGGTGTAGGCTTTAAGCTTAGGGTTTAGGGTTTAGGGTTTTGGGATTACAGCGGACATAATACGCAGAGGGCCTGTAATAACGGTCATGTTAACCATCATGGTCATAAAACAATTATCGTAGTTCAGTTTCCATAAAATACGGCAACCCTAATATGAGCTATAGTCTACCCTGTAATACTCCTCTATAATATAATCCCTGATATAACCCCCTTTAAGGAGTTTAGATTATGGCTCAGATAGACCCCCCAAATACGTTAACCCTCATCTCATGATGCGGGCCAGAGGTGAGCGTAACATGGATATGTGGTCCACAACATGGTTTCCGTATGGAGGCAACTTAATTCAGGGCTCCTTCAATCCCCATTTTCTGGGTTGGCCCCTAAAGCCCTTTGAAAAATATAAGTATATAGGGTCACTTATAAAACCCATTGGGGAAAATATTAAAGATCCCGGAGCCTACCCAGTTTTCCACGTGAACATTCCCAGTGTCCAAGCCATATCGCATGTCTATTTTCTTGTCGATTTGCTTCTCTGGTATGGTAGGTCTATAACCTCTGAAAAGGGAGTGCGCTGTGGTAACCCTGAAGCCTAAGCCCTAAACTGCGAGCGACCTAGTCTGGGTCCTGCTATTTGCTGAAGCTAGTGGGTTTAGGGTTAGGGGTTTAAGGTTTAGGGAGACCCCTGACAGGATCTACAATTAGATTCCCTCAATGACCCCATATTCACTCTGTCAAATGCCTATATCTTACATGGACCGCCACCCTGTAATAGTGGCAATAAGGGATAATAAGGATTATATTAGGGTTGTATATATTCCTACTATACCACTATTACAATGTGGGGGGTCCTCCAAACCTATGTCAAACCTCATAGTATCTTAGGGCATCTGATTCTTCTAGATGAGTCTAGGGATCTGGACCGCTACTCAAAAAACCGTGAAGAACAGACAATTTGCTCTCAATATGCTGGCTGCAACCCCATGTGTTCTCCGCCAAATACTGCTCGCAAATCGCATGAGATCAACCCCAAACATCAGCCCCCAAAAACACCCCAACAACAAACAAGCTCGAACTCTGAACTGCGAAGTGCCCACAGGCTTTCGTCGTACCCTACACGAACAGCTCCTGCAGCTTTATGCTGACTCCTGATTGTGATATTATGTTAGAATGTATGTTCATCTCCTTTGTGAGCTTTTGTATGCTGCAAATTACGAACAAATTTCGACCCTAGGTGTCCCCATCTAACCGTACGTGTCCGCATATCACCTGACACAAGCCTATACATCCCCATCATACAGACCTAAACAACCTTACATATTACACAACCCTATACATCCCCATGTGACCCCACACAGCCCTAGACATTTCCATATCACCCTATATCATCTTACGGCAAATCATATACACACCTCTACACCTCAACAAAGCCTTGTACTTGTATATCCCTGCAATTCCTACAGAAATGATCTCAACTCTAAACCCAAAACTGTAAGCCTTAAACCTTACATCCTAAAACTATATGAGCTACTGTCTAAACTCCTAGTATCCCCCTTAATAAGCCCTATTGTAGTCCCCTATATAATCCCTTATATAATCCCCCTTTAAGGAGTTTAGACTACAGGTCATATAGAGGTCATCATTTATGGGTTAATTAAAATATCCCTAAACCCTAAACCTCACAGTG